ACCTGTTTTCCTCTAATGTTGTTAATTTATACAGCTCTTTCTTTGATTATATAAGAATATATGTTGATGTTTTCAGCATTTAAAAAGCCATACTTCTGCCACATGGACTTAATATCTGGTGGCATTTTGATGTATTTCCCCCTGGTCATATATGAGTACATATGAAGGTTTGACCATTATTTTAAGGTAATTACTTTGTGCCTGGCAATGTTACAAATATTAGCTAATTTAATCTTATGGCAACCCCATGAGTTGGTACCATTATTATATCCATTTTAATGATGAGGAAATTGAGGCACACATTCACATAGCTAGTAGATGGGAGAGCCAGGATTCAAACCCAAGAAGTTGGCTCCAGTCTGTGTTTTTATCCATCATATCATAATTTTTATTAATTTATATATTTTATAGAGAGGAAGTAATTCTACGTGATCTTCCTTCATTCTTTTGCCACATTCTTTCTGTTATCATTATTTTTTTAGAGACAGGGTCTCGCTACATTGCCCAGGCTGGTCTCAAACTCCCTAGGTTCAAGCAATCTTCCCACCTCAGCCTCCCAAGTAGCTGGGATTATAGGAACATTCTTCTATTGCCATTTTCTGGTCCTTTCCTTCCTTTTCCATTCTCCGTGGTTTAAAAGGATCAATGCTCACAAATATTTTAAATTATTTGACTAGATGCTTTCATATATTTCTCCAGTTGGCCATTGTCTTTTAGAGTAAAAATTCCTAGAAGGTGTTGATCCTTTCTTTTTTGTTATACATTGATAATGGGTTAAGTAAGAAGTTATATTATTTTCTTGACTGGCTCTAACCTTATTATCTGCATGTGGTCTAGTTATTTGAACAGTATCACACATACTTAGGAGTTGCTAAGAAGAAAGTGATAAGTTAAAGTAGTATGTTTAAATAAGTAGTTTGTGGCTTTTAAGAATGACTTTAGAAAAATGATAAAGGCTTCAGACTTTATCTTCTGTACCTTTCTAAATCTCTGGTCTGCTTAACTTGCCTTGGTGACAGCCATTCTATTCACTTTAACTCAGATTAAATGTGATAACATACTCCTAAGTGACTTATAAACCATAAATAAAAAATAGTACTATTATGAATATTAATTATTCCTCAGATACCATGTATATTCATACATACTTTGTTCTCTCTGCCTCCCCCCTCCCAAATTCTCACGTCTTCCCCATTAAAACCTATTCCCAGAAAATGATATACTCATTTAACCCAGGTGACAGGTAAAGTTTAATGTGTACTTCTCCTGGGTTATTTGCATTTTATTAGGGTGAAAATCCATGAGCCTGAGGAATCGCTCTCTGATGCTAGAACATCAGCCATAAGCTCTGAGCTGTGAGGGAAGGACTTTGAGGGGCCAGGTAGAGCGTCCCCACATCTTACAAACCATATCATATCAGTGCTCACTTCCAGAAAGGTCAGGCCTGTTAGACACAGACAACCTTAAAGAGACTGATCTACCTGCCTGAATGGAGGCAGCCCCAGGAGTCACCAATCCCTTGAATACTCATGTGGAATACCAATATACACTTAAAAGTTTTGCTCATGGGTATAAAAAAAATACCAATTTGGTTTAAGACATCTTTAAGATTAGGACAGTGAGACTAAAGATGGACTGTTTCTCTATGTTGCCCTCTTTAAAATTACAAAGGTAATAACATATTCTCATCAAGAAAAAAATTGGGCCCTGACTTCAGCATTATACAATTCACCCATGTAACAAAAACGCTTGTACCCCCTTAATATTTTGAAATAAAAATGATTAAAGAAAAAAATGGAGAGAGTATAAATAGGATAAGAAAAATTATTCATAATCCCACCACTCAGTGATAACCACTATTAGTAATTTGGTTTATATACTTTCTGTTTTTCTCTTGGGGTAGTTGTGGGAGTGTGTGTATGAGAGTATGTGTGTGTGTGTAAATCCAGGTTCCCTTTTTTCTTTTAAACCAAGAAGGTTTAAAAACATGTTACAAGGCCGGGCGCGGTGGCTCACGCCTGTAATCCTAGCTCTCTGGGAGGCCGAGGCGGGTGGATTGTTTGAGCTCAGGAATTTGAAACCAGCCTGAGCAAGAGCGAGATCCCGTCTCTACTAAAAATAGAAAGAAATTAAT